TCGGAAACTTCGTGAAGATACGGAGATTGTGCTTCTGCCGGCTGACAAAGGGAAGTCGACCGTCGTCCTGGATCGGGAGGTATACGAGGAAAAGGTACGGGATCTTCTTGGAAGCCATGCTTATGTAGAGCTCAAGAAAGATCCGACGCCACAGGTTCAGAGGAACTTGAACAAAATCCTGGCAGAGATTTTCAAGAAATACCCTCAGTCAAAGAGCCTTTACTTGCAACTTATTTGCAGGAATGGCTCCGCTCCAGGTTTTTACGGCCTTCCAAAGATCCACGAACCCAACGTGCCTCTACGACCTATTGTGGACTTTACAACCTCACCGCTTCGGGCGCTATCCAGTTATCTTCACCGGACTTTGGCTCCCCTTGTCGGAAACACGTCGACCCATGTAGAAAATGCTGGCCACTTCGTGGAACGCGCCTCGCAAATACATCTCAGCGATGGTGACACCATGGTGTCTTTCGACGTGGTGTCCCCCTTCACCAGTGTCCCAGTTCCCCTTGCAGTTGCTGCAGCCCGCGAAGCCCTCGAAAAAGACAGCTCCTTGACCACAAGAACCAACCTCACTGTGGAGGAGCTGTGCCGTCTGCTCGAGTTTTGTCTCGGCAGCACATACTTCACCTTCAAAGGGGAGCTTTTCAAACAGGTCAGTGGCACTGCAATGGGTGCGGCTTTCTCGGTCACAACGGCGAACCTCACGATGGAGGCAATCGAGCAAAAAGCGCTGAGGTCTTTTCCCAACAGCCCCAAAGTATTCATGCGCTATCTAGATGATTGCTTCTGCATTCTCAAGGAACGGGACGTGAATAATTTTTTGGCGCACCTCAACTCTATCAAGCCGGCCATTAAATTTACCGTAGAATATGAGACGGATGGCACCTTGCCGTTCCTTGATGTGCTGGTGAACCGACGAGGACAAGATCTGACGTTTGCGGTGTACCGAAAACCAACACACACCGGACGCTACCTCGATTTTGTCTCCAAACATCTAACGAATCATAAGGCCTCCGTGGTTTCGACCCTGCTGCGTAGGGCAACGACTATCTGCTCGTCGGAAACCGATAGAAAGAAGGAGAAGAAGACTATAATTGAAGACCTAAAGAAAAATGGTTACTCTAGCAGCTTTATTGAGCGCATCGCCCGACGGCAAGATTTCGCCAGACAAAACCAGATGCCAGTAGAAGAACGACAGCCCCATCGAGTCGCGCGCATAAGCGTTCCCTACGTAAAGGGAACCAGCGAAGCGCTCGCACGAGTACTGGGAAAGCAAGGTATTCTGGTGGCCCACAAGCCCACGTCCACGCTGGGAAGGTTTATGCCAAGACCGAAAGACCGTCCACCAAAGGAAAAAGCACAGGGCGTGGTTTACACCATTCCTTGCGCAGAGTGCCCCGCAACCTACATCGGCGAGACGAAGAACTTTCCCGAGCGTATCCGCCAACACAAGAACGACGTGCGGAAGTTTGACAGTGAGCGCAGCGCCATCGCCGAACATTGCGATACCCTAGACCATCGCATTGACTTCGCGAACGCGCACGTAGTGGACACAGAGCCCAATTTTCGAAGAAGACTTTTCTTAGAATCGTGGCACATCCAGCACACCCCAGGAAACCTAAACAGGTCGCTGGGCGCTCTGCCCTCTGTGTACGCACATGGCCTCCGTGACCTGACGGAAAAGCTGAAGAGATGACCATCTTCATAACTAACAAGTTATTTTACAATTTTTTTTTTCCAATTTCCTAACTTCTCTTTTTAATTTTTATTTTCTCTTTCTTTCTTTTCTTTCCTTTTTTGAAGACGAAGAGGTTGGGAGCTGCTGCTGTGTCCGCGCGCCTTCAGTCACCCCTGAAGAAGAAACCGTGTTGGTTTTAAAACGTCGGGTTGCCTTTCATTTTTTGGTTGGAGATATATTTTCAGACTTTAGTACTGGTTTAAGCACTCCTTTTCGGCTATATGTGTCCTCGTCCCAAGAGCTAGCAAATGGTTTTGCTAATCATTTAGGGGACTGCTACTCTTCCTATATTTATGGTCGCGCCACGTCCGATAAGTTTAACCGTCATGCCACTTTGAATATCTATAGCGTAGATAGATCTGAAATCTTAAGGCGATAAGAAAACTGATTCCAAAGTTTTCCGTGTGCAGTGATCCCCAGCTTCAACGAAAGAGGCTGCTCCGAGTTAATCCCGCCTCTTTTAGATCATATTTTTAACCTTTCTTTGCAATTGGGTTCATTCCCACCCCCGTGGAAAAGGTCGGTTGTGGTTCATGAGCAGAAAGATGGTGATGGTTGTCTGGCGAACAGCTATAGACCTATTTCCTTATTATGTGGCTTTCCTAAGTTTTTCGAAATTCTTACTTTTGCGCGTACGTTTCACTACTTCCGGCACAAGCTAATTGATTTCTAGCATGGTTTTCTAAAGGGTCATTCGGGGAAAACCAACCTCTGCTCGTTCCTTCACTATTCTGTGCCGTTTGTCCTAAATAGCGATTAAGTTCATAGAGTTTACATGGACATGTAGGAGCCGTTTGACAGAGTAAGCCACAAATTGCTTCTGCATAAACTACCTTGTTACGCTATTTGCTCCTGCACTCACCAGGTGGTTTCAATGTTATCTTACCGACGGTAAAAGCAGTGTGCGATTTTTAAATAGTTTTTCTGGTGCCTTTGTTCCTTCGTCTGGCGTCCCTCAAGTGTCTAACCTGGGACCACTACCGTTTTTTTTTTATTAATTATATCGAATTGTGCGTTAGGAATTCTCGGTTGTTGCTATTCGCCGATGATTTGAAGCTATATTTTAATAGTCGATTACTTAATGACTGCCCACTTCTACAAGGCGATGTGTCACGCGTGCTTCAGTTGAGCTCGGCATTTTTTTTTGTTAATTAATCTTGATAAAACTAAAGTGCTATCAATGTGCAGAAAAAGAAAGTCGATAGAAAACATTATGCTGCTACGATTAACAGCTTTTGCTGATAAGCATAACATTTTATGTCCATCCCAATTTGGGTTTCGCAAACAACGATTTGCAGAACTCGCACTTCGTGCGCAAAAATAACATATTCCTAAAAATTTGAAAAAAAGAGAACTCACACTTGGCTTATTCATTGGCGTTACCAAAGCATTCGATTATCTGGATCATAATTTATTATTAAAAAATTAGACATGTATGGACTTCGGGGGCAAGTGTATCAACTTTTACAATCATATTTATCCTGCCGTAGGCAGTATGTTAATATCTACCCCAGGGTCACCTAAAAAAACCCAGCGAACCTAAAAAAAAAAAGCATATACGTATCCAACACGGACTAAGAAAACCCGGGAAGTACCATTTTCTAGAACTAATTACGGCAATCAATCTATAGCATATACTTTAACAAAGATCCTTAATCAGCTGACTAGGCAGATATAGATATCAACAGTAGATCGGTGAGCATTTTAAGGGAATATTTTATTTCAAACCTTTTTATCAACAATGACCGCGTAGTTAGAATGCACTGCGTGTGTGTTTGATTCAATGTGTTATTGCTGCTTTGTAAAACGCTGTTTCTTTTGTGTGATGATTTTTCATTTATGTTTATGAATTTGTAAAGTTTCATTGTATAATTCCTGTGGTGCTTGCTTTGCGACTGTTTGTTTGGGGTGGCTAAGGGCAGTCGAGCTGTTTTGACAGATTTGTTTCCCAGTCACCTTTCAACTCTTTGTTGGAGAAAGAATTATTATTATTAATATTATTATTAATATTGTTATTATTATTATTTTAAATGCCAATGTTATTAATTCCACTACCATTTTGCGTGTGTCTGTGGATCGTGACCTTGGCGGTTATTTTTTGACAATTGTCTTTCTTTTTCGTAACATGTCCCTCAAATTGTCGCATCAGATCTAAGATTGCTGTGCTTGATTTCTCGCTTGACCAGAGAATTTTTTTTTAACTCATTGTGAATTAGTCCCTTATTTTTCAGTCTAATTCGTTCTCGCCTCAAGTTGGCAAGTGCGTGGAATTCCATTGGAGCAACCGATGCTTTGCAGTTTGAAAGAAAATAAGTTCAGAAGGGGTTAATTCGAATTGTTAATCACCAATATTTTAAAAGAAGTTGTTCTTATGACTACCCGTACATAATCGAGACTCCCGGTTTCCAAAAGCTATGAAGTCGAAGTGTTGGACGCGACCTACTACTATCCTGTAGCTTCCCCTCTGGAACACCGCAACGATAAGTTTACTATTGCAGAAATGATTATTTTGAAATCGGAAGTAACACTTCCCAGACCACATGGGGAGGTAGGTACATCTGGACAATTTTTTCTGTTTCGAGAAACCGAGTAAATTTAATGCAATCCCCAAGAGAACACCACCCAGTGGTGTTCTCTTGGGGATTGCCCAAGAGAACACCATCAATGCCATACTCCATCCGCAGAAGCAATGTGCAGCAACGAAAAGCCGGGCTTTCACTCCATTTCGACAGTTCAAAAGGACAACTTGTAATATACATAAATACGGCTTATTTGATCTGTGTATGTCGATTTCTCAAATAGTAACTGATAATGTTTCGTTATAGTCACTTTTCGTGTAGTCTTTTTATATTTTGCCGTGCTGACTGAAGCATTAGCTTGTTTTTACGCCCGCGCCATCTGGAAAATTAAAAAGTTGCGATCAAGAAAGATAAATGGTACCATCTCACGTTAAGAAAAGCACAGAAATAAGATGAATGCACTTTTTACGAATCTCTGGGAGTATTTTTTTTTACATTGAAATTGCGTCACTTGCGGTGTTAGACGTCCAAGCATTCGATGATGCATGATTAGATAACCGTAGAATACAAAACTCCTCAGCGCACTCTGGAGCGAAGAGTAAATGAGGAGATCTTTTTGTGTGACTCGAAATTATGAAACGAAACTGGGTACATTCATCTTTTTTTTTCCTCTTCCAGCTAATCCGACAATAAAAATAATTATGTTAAAAATAATGAGTAAGGGTCCGAACATTCTTCTATACAAATTTATAACGGATATATTGCTTTTTTATTCGTCTTAAAGTTCACTCAAATTCAACATATTACTCAGGCATTTTCACAATACATAGAAACATTACGCGGCATGTAATCTTAAAAGCACACACGACATCTTTTATGAAGAAAGTTCTGCGAAAGTAAATGCCAAGTTTGTTTTAAAAAATATAGAAAAACTCGCACACTAAGCTGTCCTCTGCCAAAATATACACCATTCATTCGATCAGCCATATGTTGGTTGCTTGAACTCGTACATCTGGTCGAGGTCCAAGTCGTTGCTGTAACTGCCCCTTGACTTTGGAGCCGAGTAAGACCTCGACGGAGACGAGTAGCTAGATGGTGTCGACGGGTACGACGACGTCTGTGCGGGCCTGTAGTAGCTCTGCTGTTGCGACGGACGCCTCTGGTAGTCCCACGGGTAAGGGCCGGGTGACTTTGAGATCGTCATCTTGTAAGACATTCCGATCGGGATGTCGTAACTCGGCTTCCAAGCCTGATACGCTGTGTAAGACGGCTCAGGACTCGGTTCGTATCGTGGCGATATATAGCCCCGGCGTACAGAGTAGGACGCCGGCCCCGTCGATGTCTTCACGTAGACCTCCTCCGACGGCACCACCCGTGCTGTCACCTTAGGACCACAGTATCCAGAACAAGAGGACTTGTAGCCTCTTGGGACGTAGACATCCTGAACGGGTGGTCTGTATACCTCACGCTGCGGAGCGTAGGAGCTTTTTGACGACGTCCAAGGACGTCGCGGGGGTGTCCACGGTCGAGGTTCTGGCGTCCAGGGGCGTGGCTCTGGTGTCCAAGGTTTCGGTGGTGGCGTCCACACTTGGGGCGCGGGCGTCCACACTTGGGGCGCAGGCGTCCAAGGCTTTGGTGCTGGAGTCCAAGGTTTCGGCGCAGGAGTCCAAGGCTTTGGTGCGGGAGTCCAGACCTTTGGTGCTGGAGTCCAAGGCTTTGGAGCCGGCGTCCAGGGGCGATGTGGCGGCGTGTCGTGATAAGTTTCGCTGACTTCAGTCGGAGGGTCGTCGCGCGCTGGAAGGTAACCTGGTCTCCTAACTATGGTCTTGGTTCTGTGCACCACGGGCGGTGGTTGCACGAAGACTTGCTGTTCTACGGGAACGTACACAGTCTTGGGAGGTTGCGGGACCAAATAAGAGTCGCGTACTGGAGGTGGCCTTTTGACAACTACCTTGCGCACGTAGGGAACATGATGAACCGGCGGTGACGGCACATACGTATCGTGCACTGTGACGTGCTGCACGGGGACGTACGAAGTCTTGCGGACAGGGGGCGGCTCGACGATGTGCTTTACGACAGGAGGCAGGATAACTTCTTGAACAGGAACGTAGGCCGTCTTGCGCGGTGGGACGACGACAGGCGGATGGGCGACAACCGACTGCGCCGGAGGTCTACCACAGATGCCCTGGATGGGTCCGCGAGGTGTCCCTTGTGTGCCAGGAGCTGTGGAGCGGATGCTGACGTCGGCGGGGTCATCGTTGGCCGTGCCTTGCTCGTTCGTGTCAACCCAAGCTCGGAAGCCGTTCTCGTCGGCCACGTAGCACACGACCCGCTGTGAGCCCTCGGCGGTCGCTAACGTGTAGTGGCCATAGACGCGGCCGTTGGCGTCCCGGGCCTCGTGCCGCGAATGACTTCCGTCGTGGCCACCCGCGAAGTAAGAGAACTGGTACGGCATGGACGCCTGCTCTGTCACCAGCTGACCGGGCTGTTGGGGAGAGGACAGAACACCGTTTTAGCTTGTAGGCAGTGGCAAGCTCAGCATTAAAATAGTAGGTGCCTAGTAACACTTTCTTTACACGATAACGCTCTAAACAATAATCAAAAAGTGACCTGTGACACCCAAAATTTGGCATCAAGACATCTTTGTACCAAACCCCAAGATTCTCGGACAAGTCGGCAACTCAGAACTTGCGCCATCTGTCGGCCGTCGCATGAGTCCCAGAGCTTTACTGAAAGGGCGACGAAGTTTTATTTTTAAATTGATAGCTAAATGGGTGACACTCTGCGGAGATTTAGTCCTCGTCCCTCGTCGTCGGCGCGCGCGCCAAGAATGGAAAAACCGGAAAACCCCTCCTTCTCTTCCCTCTTGCCGCGAGGATAGGGAAGTCGGGACTTCTCGTCGGCCGTAGCGGGCGAAGTGAGCGAAGGGGGAGCCCTGGCGTCCCGCCAGGAATGCCCAACGAAGCCACGAAGTTCAAGCCGACTATATAATGATTCGTGTCGTCGGCTTGAAAGACTCGTTTTCAAACACTATTCGCGTTATCTGAAATCTCACTTTGGCAGTATCCAGTTGCTACGCGTAATGTTGGATGGTTTCAGAAACTTCCACCGTGCTTACCCACTCACTTTACGGATCAATGGTGGCAGTCGTCGGTGGCATTTACGACGTCAACCACGGCGGCTATAAGAATTAACCACGTCGCACCTCCGTCGTTAGGTTATAAGCGTTGAAAGGGACGCTGTGAGCTCTAAGACATCACTCATACATTGATATCACAAGCGAATAGCAGTATTCAATGCCATATTCACTGGCGCATTTGTTTTCCAAACATAGAGCCGACAGTTCGAGATATCGCTGAATGAGTTAAGTTTCGGGGTTCTCCAGAGTCTTACATATCGGGCCAGCCTTGTTTTGTGTGCTACATATTTCGGTTCAGTGTCCCTTTACGTCGTCACCCACTTCGGTTGGCCAGTGCTTGCTTAGTCAACGCTCTTTATGATGTTCATGCTAGATTAATTTTGCTGCTAACGGGTGAAGAGAAAACGTGAGCTAGCACTACAGATGCAACAGGGTCGCATTGTTCAACGTTTAAGCCGGGAACACATTTGCGAAAAAAGGCCGAATTTTATGCGAAAACCGCACACGAAAATCGCACGGCAGCTAGGCTCCTCCCCTTTTCCGAAAATCGGGAGCGGTTCGAAAGATCTGCAGCGCCAGATATTTTCGCACGGCGCCTCCGAATTCGGGGCGGAGGAGCTCGGTGAGCGAAAGCCCGGAACAGGACGGAACGAAAAGATACGATCGGCTCGCAACATGGCGGCTCACGCAGCTTCGGAAGCAGCGCAGCGTAGAAAACCCCTTCTGTCTCTATCAAACGGTGGTGGTAGAAAGGCTCGCGTGGCTTGCAACGAGGTTTTAATAGCTGAAGTTTTAAAGAGGCGCGAAATATGGGACGCCAGTTCGCCAGACTACCGAACAGCCTCCTGAAGTCGGAGCACGAGAACCGCAGTGCATTGCGATTTCCGCGCCGCGCATTCCACCTCATGTGGCTCGTCATCCGAAAATCACATGCCACGATTTTCGCAGCCTCCGATTTCTCTCCGATTTTCGGTTCGGTTTTTCGCAAATGTGTTCCCGGCTTTAGCGATTCAGCGTTGAAACGTTTAATGAGAATGTTGAAGAGTAATAAACTTCAATGTACCCGAGAGAAGAAAAATAGGATACCGGACAAAACAATCTGGCACGCACGCGATTTAAACAGGGCACCATTTGCGGTCACTCAAATATAAAATAAATACCACAACTATCGAAATATTCAACTAGCATTTGCATGAGAACCCCAAGAAGCTTCTACGAAATCAGCGTTAACCCAAAATCTGCCCACTGAGCGAGTTGTGATGAAAAAATAAAAGGCCGACAATTCTTCACGCCATAACCTCCTCGCTGTTTTTTTTTAATTTTTTATTTTGTCTTATTGCGACAACTCTTGTGTCCATTTTGTCTTGTCCGATAAAGAATTCTACTACCTGAAGAGCCAATGACGCTGGTATTTGAAAGAAGGGGGGGGGGGGGGGGTTAGACCATATCTTTGTGTTCTGACAAGTGTGCTGGCTTGTATATTTTTAAAAGTATTTAATTTAAATGAACCAATCAGTTGAATGCTAAGCCGCATCCTGTCCAGTCTTCCATTCGTTTTCGTCCGTGAAACTAGCCCCAACTAGCCATCCTTATCACGCAGTCGCTCGGCGATAAAGACGGGAATGGCGAGGTGCCTCCAAGAGTGTGCGTTCGCTTTTAGTTGAGAGAAATACAGGTTTAGAAAACCCTCGTACACAGAAGAGTGGTAATTTAGAGATTGTACTTTTAGAACTACGTGTTGTGATGCGATGTCGCCACCCCCAACACTCTACAACACAGAGTAAACCACGAGCTGCTGGCACTCAGGTAGAGCACACAACTTTACCACCGCCCCTGTATTCGAATATAATCACTTTCGCATGGTGCCATTCGCGAAAACGAGTCTCCACGCGTGTACACAGTTTCTCCGACCTAGCACATCACCTTCTCGGTTACCACTGCCTTTTCCAAGCAATTTTTTGTTTGTCATCTACGAGATGCCCGTGAGGAACTTAAACGCGTACATCATAAAGCATCGCTCTTTCATTTTGGTGACTTCAATAGCTCAGAAATCAACTGGACCTCACTCAGTCACAGAGAAAAATGCCTCAAATGAATCTAAAAGGTTCATTGGTTTAACACAAGACTTTACTTTTACTTAATTCATTAACCAGCCAATTAGACTCGGCACCACACTCGATCTCCTGTGTTCAACTTCCCCTGAGTACAGTTAAAACGTCATTGATTTCCTGAAATAAGAGACCACCAAATCTTAAACATGACACTGAAACTTCCAACCAGCAGACAAATACACGTGCAAACATTTATCAAAGATTACAAAAAAGAGACTTTGCTTCTATTAACGTTGAGCTTCACGCCTATTACACTGACGTCAGTGAACACTTTACTTCCAGAATTGTTGAAAAAAATGGCATCTATTTCGACATAACCTGACCGATTTCATTGATGCCTTTATTTCTACAATCTGCATTAAATCTAGTAAGAATTATCCCTGGTTTAATAAAACACTCAAAGCCCTAAATAACAAGAGGAAACACTTCTACAGCGAAACAAAACGCACTGGCTTCACCCAAGATTAAGTATCATACAAAGATGTCTAAAAGAAATATTCCAAAAAACAATAAATATGCTAAGACATAAATTCTATCTGACGACATGCCCTGAATTCCTCGCACGAATCCGACTCGATTTCGGCAGCTCCTATCACCAAACTGTTATTTTCGATCACTTGAATTAACCGACAGCAACCCTATTAATGAAAGCGACTGAGCGACAGCCCTTAACAACGTTTTTGTATCCGTGTACACAGTCCAAAACTTCGGAAGGATTTCCTGTCCTCTCTCATTGCCAACCAACGTCTTTCCGCCTGTAATATTATCACCCGCTGGAATAACTTCCTTTAACGACAAACTAAAAGTATCACCCTCTGCTCCGGCAGATAATATTGCCACCCGCAGGGCCGAGAAAGCAACGCTCGGTCACGGTCTTCCAGAAGATTCGCGTTCATTCTCGCACCGGACGTAACTTTCCCCCTACTTTCTTGCTCTAGAAAGTGTAAGTTCACCCTCGCCCAGAGCGCGCGACGCTCGAACCTTCCTTGCCGAACTTTCGAGATAGTAGCGAGTTTTAGTAGACCGTGTTTCCCCCTCCGCTGACCCTCCGCTATGAAGAAACCGCCACTGCGCCTGCGTGCCGATGGCCTTGGCTGTAGAGCTTTAGGTATAGCGGAGGGGCTTAGCGGAGGGGGAAACCCGGTCTACTAAAACGTACTAGTGACGCAGCTGCCGGCGACCTTGTCGAGTCGGTCTCGCCCTTGCTCTCCGTCACGCCGCCGAATCGCCGCCCGCTTTTCTGCTGCCTCGACAATCTATCATTACTTATTTTGGTTGGCACAAGTTCGCCCATTAAACCTTTATTTTCAGTTCACTCTTCGTCTTCTCGTGACCTTCATTCATGACAATATTAACACGAAAATTCTTGAGAACGCTAATTTAATTGCCAGTTCATAACTTATTTTTTCCCAATTCCTCTCCACTGGCTGTAGACCAAAAGATTTGAAATTTGTGAAGTTGGTATCCGTTCATAAAAATGGACGGGACGCTCGCATCTAATTTGCCCTGAATATATTTAACTAGCTTTCCATCAATATTTTGGAACATATCATGAGCTCCAGCATAATCAATCACCTTAATTCGATCAATTTTGTTTACCCCCGTCAACATGCATTTCTAAAAAGTCTTTCTTGCGACACCCAACTTGCCTGGCTTGCCTCTTAACATGAATAAAAACAGATGCCAAGCTCCCGTATCTTGCTGAGGCCCTCGATAGTGTGCCACATTATCGTCTTCTTTCTAAGCTTTCTGTGCTTGACATCGACACACCCATCATCTCCTGTAGTCATGATTTTCTCACCTCCCGAGTACAGTTCACAATAGCAAATAATCATAAATGACCCCTTGCAAACGTAAGTTTAGGCGTTCCCCAGGGCGCAGGACTTTCCCCACTTTTATTTCTTATGTATAAAGGGTGTCCCAGGTCATTAGACTCGATCCAAAATAGACCGTGAAAATCGAAGCATGCACGTAGCCATCTAAACTTTTCGTCAAAGGTGTATTTCACAGGTGGGTGTTTTCTTGTAAAACTGCAAAGCGTAGCTCTCTTCCTGTAAAAGATAGGGCTATGAAACTTGCCAGGGTCCATGGCGGGCGGCGATGCAGACGACCAAGTCAAGTACCGGAGCGGGTTTCGCGCTCGTGCTGATAGATGGCGCTACCTCCTTATCGAGACTGCTCGCGACAACCGTGGTTTGTTAAAATGAACATACTTTTTCATGTACCTTTCTTTAA